TACTGTGCAGCACTCACTGCAAAAGGAACAGAGGGAAATATGACGTGGGGTAACTCCCCACGTCATATGCAACTTCCCACTCCCCTGCATTTTTGTAGGGAGTGATTTATTATTGTTAATAATAATATAAAATAATATTATTAATTAATAATAATTAATATATATTTAATTAATTAATCTTATTAATTAATATTAATTAATTAATTATTAATCTAATTAATAATCAATTAAATATATATATTAATTAAATAAATAATTAACACTTAATTATTTATTATCAATATAGAATCATATTCTAAAGCATTTCTCTCGTATAACCTATAGTTCTAATGTACATCTTATGCACATTATTTTTAACCTATAGTTTTAATATGAATCTTATTCATATTAATTTTATTTGAATCACGTTCAAATAATTTCGCTCATAATATATAGTTTCAATTTTGAATTATTTATATATTATAATGTATCAATATACATATAATCCCTTAAGAAATTTGAACAATTCAAATTCTTCCAAAAACTTGATCCTCGTTTTACCCGTTATGAGCTAGCAAGGGGACCTAATGGACCTACAGATCAGAAGCTCCAACGATGCAAGATTAATTGGTCAAACTCATTGATCGAGTTAATCAAGATTCGTTAACTACGAGTCATTCCACTAAAGACTTGCAGTTGCACTCTTTTCACTGCAGAATGTTTTCTTGTCCAAGGATATACGACCATTAATGACGAGTCAATCCTTCACGAGTGTTAGTAACTCAAGTTGGGTCAAATTACCGTTTTACCCCTGAGTTACATCTTACTCCTTAAACACCACTGCTCCTCTAATGAACAACCCGGTTATGGTCCAACCAATAACCGGAAGTCCCTCTCGGCCAATGAGAGGGCGGGGCCCCTTGTTCAAGTCCCGGAGTCAGCATTTAAGGGAACACTCATCTACTCCGCTAAAGTCGGGGAGGAGTGAATTCCATCTTGTGAAGTTCGGTTCCCAGCTCCCCTCTCAGTCTCGTCTCCAAAATGGTAGGAATGTTGAGTCAGCAACTCGGGCCACTCTCACCCATACAGATCAAAGGACGAACCCTCACGGGCAGGAGTCTATAACTCACTCAGGATTGAGAATGAGTTGCCTGGTCATCCTAAGAAATAGCAATCTATTAGTTAACGGTGTTACACCTAAAGATTGCTTATTTCTAGGTCCGGTCTTATACAAACTCATTGTATAGGATACCCCCACTCGCATGTCTCCACACGAACGACCTGGATCGAGTCGTTTGTAACCTTTACAGAGTGAGCCGTATCCACAGTGTTGCCAGGATAAGGTACCCAGCCTTATCCATATACTATAGACTCTTTAGGTTATTCACGGGACATTATCCATTCATATATCAGGGGTATATCAAATATATACCTCGTATATCAACTATATACCCAGTATATATACTGTCCCGATTACATCATAAATAACCTTGGATGTTTAGTTTATTGGATTTTGGAAAATGCAAAGCTATGATTCAACAACAAATTTATTGAATAAAACTTTATTAAATAGACATATGTTTTTACAAAATACAAACTACGAGTTTAAGGCAACACACCCAACAAACTCCCACTTGAACTAAACTCAAGTGGGGTGTACATTATCATAAAGCAAAGGAAAAATACAATAAACTAGGACATACACTATACCCAATTACATTTCTCCCACTTGCCCTAGACTAACTGTACAAAGCTCGTAAACCTAGATTTTCTAGATGACCTTCAAACACTTTAGCCGTGAGTGCCTTTGTAATAGGATCAGCAATATTCTGCTCTGTAGCGATCTTCGTGACAATCACATCTCCTCGCTGCACTATCTCCCGTATAAGGTGGTACTTCCTTTCGATGTGTTTGCCTCTCTTATGGCTTCGAGGTTCTTTAGAATTTGCCACAGCACCACTGTTATCACAATAAAGTGTGATGGGCAAGTTCATGTTTGGAACGACGTCCAAATCTGTCAAGAACTTTCTAAGCCAAACCGCCTTTTTTGCTGCTTCACAAGCTGCAACATACTCAGCCTCCATCGTGGAGTCTGCGATGCATCCTTGTTTGATGCTTCGCCAAACTACCGCTCCTCCGTTAAGAGTGAATACTGACCCCGACGTGGATTTCCTTGAATCCTTGTCTGTTTGGAAGTCAGAGTCAGTGTATCCTGTAAGGATCAAATCCTTAGCGCCATACACGAGCATGTAGTCCCTCGTTCTCCTAAGATACTTGAGGATTCCCTTAACAGCAGTCCAGTGATCATATCCTGGGTTGGATTGGTACCTACTGACTATCCCTACCGCATAGCAAATGTCAGGCCTAGTGCACAGCATAGCGTACATCAGGCTGCCCACTGCTAAAGCATAGGGTATACGTCTCATATCCTCAACTTCTTAAGGTGTCTTAGGACACTGCTCCTTAGACAGATGAATTCCATGCCTGAAGGGTAATAAACCTTTCTTGGAATTCTGCATCGAATATCGAGCAAGCATCTTGTCGATATAAGTTGCTTGTGACAGGGCTAACGTTCTGTTCTTGCGATCCCTTAGGATTTGGATGCCAAGAACATACTGAGCTTCTCCCAAATTCTTCATTTGGAACTCAGTCGCTAGCCACTTCTTTATGTCAGTGAGGTATCCTACATCATTCCCAATGAGTACGATATCCTCCACGTACAACACTAAGAAGGCTACGGTGTTGTTGACGATCTTCTTGTATACACAAGGCTCATCAACGTTTTGGTCAAAACTATAAGATTTGATCGCTGTATCGAACCTTATGTTCCAAGATCGAGATGCTTGTTTGAGTCCATATATGGACCGTTTAAGCTTGCAAACCTTTTGCTCTTGACCTTGTTCAATGAACCCTTCGGGTTGAGACATATAAATACTTTCTTCAAGATTGCCATTCAGAAAAGCAGTCTTGACGTCCATTTGCCAGATCTCATAGTCATAATATGTGGCAATGGACAAAAGTATTCTAATAGACTTAAGCATAGCTACAGGGGAGAAGGTTTATTCATAGTCCACCCCTTCCCTTTGTGTGTAGCCTTTTGCCACAAGTCTCGCCTTATAGGTCTGTACCTTTCCTTCGGCGTCTCGTTTTTGCTTGTAGATCCATTTGCACCCTATGGGTTTTACCCCGTCAGGTTGGTCTACAAGTTCCCAAACGGAATTGAAGTACATCGACTCCATTTCTAGGTCCATTGCTTTGACCCATTTGTCCTTGTCAGTATCTTCCATTGCTTTCTTATAGGTCAATGGATCCTCGACGCCGTCATCAGGTATGACAACTTGAGTTTTAGTTAAACCCACGTAGCGGTCAGGTTGTGACACAATCCTCCCACTACGTCGAGGCACCCTCAACACTTGAGGTGGATGTGACTGACGCGATGTGCTGGCTTCATCAACAACTCTTGTTGTAGTGCCAGTTTGATCAACAACTCTTGTTGACGTGTTTGTAGCCTCTTTGGAAATCTCGTTAATTACTACCTTCTTCGTGGTTTATGATCTCGAACATGGCC